TCTGTCATATAATAACACATCTGCACTGAGTCTAATTCACTGTGAATTCCATAACAGGCTAAAAAACAAGGTTGTAATAGTAATGGTGGTTATACGAGCCTGTATCAGAACATTTGTGAAACATAGTTACTATCACATGCAGCTTATTAATATTAACTTATTAAAATTACAGTCAAATGACAACACACAACCCTTTAAATAGGTAGTTAACTTGCTTCAAACTGTTCATTAGGCGTGTTAAATAAACGGTAAATTACCACAATAACATTAAAAACCACTTGAGCCATGTAAGCATATTATGTAGTATGATTATGATGATTATGTGTTGGGCAAGTTACTTCAAAAAGGAATATATTTCATATTACAAGTTACTTGCTTTTGAAAGTAATGTGTTTCGTTACAATATTACCTTCTGTGTTGAGTAATAAGTTACTCATTACCTTTTGTTTTTTTTGTTTTAGTTTGTTTTTACCTTGTCACTTGATCGAACAGGGATTTTGCTGACAAGCTTCTGAAACGCCGGCGACTCAACTGCAGAAAGAGGCAGCGCATCCTCCACGACATACTCAGCCACCAGGCTTCTCACTTCTCCTGGGTCAAACATCTTCACCTCTGGTCTGGAGAAATCCAACTCTCGTTGTTTAGATTCGCTCATGCCGTCATCTTCCGTCTGTTTAGCCTCTAGCTTAAGGTTGCTGTGCACTCTCTCCATAGTGCGAGTATAACCACTTAGAAAACGTTGAATTATCAGTTATTGCCATCTTGCCGTCTTCTTCTGTTCTTTATTTACGGCTGTTGCGCCTGGGTTTTAATAATTTATGATAATAGATAAATCAATAGGTTTCGTTGTTGTATAGTTTCAAGGTGACTTAACTCTGATTTAACACCGCAGCGCTAGCCGGTTAGCAGTAGCGGGTAGCATGTAGCCTAGCTCCGTAGCCTGAGGTTAACCAGGTAACGATGAGCTCTGTGGGCGTGGCTCAGTTGTCAGTCTTCACTCAGCCCACCTAGCATCCACACGCGCTCCTCCTCTTTGCCCATTTATGGGTTAGCCAGGAACTAGGAGGAGTCAGGCCCCGGCAAGATGGCGCCGGGTGAAACGCCCACTGCGAGCCTCATTTTCAGTCTTCAGAAACCAACGGGTGACGTCACAGACACTACATCCATCTTTATATTCAGTCTGTGCTAACTGGAGGATTAATAGAAAGAGGTCCCCCTCTGACCTAATTCAGGATGTGACCCCCTCCCTGCGGTGGGGATTAACAGCGTGGACGAGAGAAACAGCCACAAACGATCAGTCTATAACACAACTTATTACACATGATTAGTTCCAAGCGCTCTCTTGATTTTGAGTCATCTCGACGTGTCGCCATATACACGTGGTTCTTGAAATTAAAAAAAGGAAAATCTAAATTTCGTTTGTTAGGAGTCATCTCAATGCACAAACGATCTTTGGTTAGCGTACCGGATGTGGGCAGCAGGTGCCACCGGAAGTGTGTTCGTCCATCCCTGCCTGCAGAGAAAAAGAAGCTAGCGGCTCTGAATTGCAAAAAAACCCATTCATTCATTGCGACAAAAGAAAAATCACTGATAATGTAAGATGTGCTTCTTGTATTTTTACTCTTGAATCTTCAGCTGTTCACCTTGAAAATAGCATCGCTGCGGTGCAGAATGACGGCATCGCCGGGGAGCCACTGCGGCAGCTACATAGGCGGCTAGCTAAGTTAGCATGGCTTTGTTAGCCACACTGCTAAGCAAAACGACACCATTGAGAGGACTAGAGGAAGATGCTCGTGGTGTGTTTCTCGACAGCGTGTTTTTGTATTAATAGATCGACATTATGTTTATCGTCAAACTATGATTCAAGACTCATCGGTTTGAATGCATCCCCTGCAAAGACGTGCAAATACCGGGTGATGTCTGCAGTGGTTAGCTAATATATTTAGTTTCTGTCACTCGTGCATCAGCAAGACTTTGTGTTATCATTCTTAGATTGTATTATTCTGTGCAGCATTTTAACTGCAGCTTTGGCGACAAAAGATCGCAGACTAGGCCGCTGGGTTTGAAATGCAGATGGACAAGGCCAGACTCTGTTAGAAAAAGTGATGATTTAAGATGTGTGATATCTGTACTGGATTCCCCTCAATAGTTTTTTCTATTCTGTCATCTCTGGTGGAAAAAGAAACTCTCTAAAAATAGTTTACCGTCTGCATTATATGGTACTTT